CCAAGCTGTCTACACAACGGCCCGCTTGGGCTTCTTTGACACCTTCATGGGCAAGCTCGGCCAACGCGCCAAAGAACAGGGAAGCGCTATTGGCTTCAAGGAACGTGCCACCGCAGGTCTCGCAGCCGGAGGTCTTGCCGCCATGATCGGAAATCCCGCCGACCTTGCCCTCATCCGCATGCAGAGTGACGGACTGAAACCCCTTGCTGAGCGCAAGAACTACAAGAGTGTCATTGACGCTCTCTCAAGCATTGCAAAGTCTGAAGGTGTCGCCGCTCTCTGGGCTGGTGCCGCCCCCACGGTCGTGCGTGCTATGGCTCTCAACTTCGGTCAGCTCGCCTTCTTCAGCGAGGCCAAGGTGCAGCTCAAGCAGAACACGCAACTGTCCTCTCAAGTCCAGACTCTCACCGCCAGTGCCATTGCCGGGTTCTTTGCCAGTTTCTTCTCCTTGCCCTTCGACTTTGTCAAGACCCGCCTGCAGAAACAGTCCAAGGGACCCGATGGCAAACTCCCGTACAAGTCAATGGCCGACTGCTTTGCAAAGGTGGCTAAGCAGGAGGGCGTGATGCGCTTCTACCGCGGTTTCGGTACTTACTACGTCCGCATTGCTCCCCATGCGTAAGTGGACCATCTCAACCCCGTGTGCCCGTGTTTTAGGTACCTAGTTTGTATGCTAACAATAGTGCGTTTCCAACAGAATGGTAACACTCATTGTTGCCGACTACCTTGGCTTCATCACCAAATAGACGGAATACGAAGAACACGAACACGACTCTCATTCAACCGCCGGCGCCCTCGAGGTTTCAGTTGTCTCGAATATTTCTTGTGGTCGGAGTGCAGCAGAGCATAGCCTCCACTCCGAGCCAATTGGGCATCGCATTCTGATTAGTCATTCTTAATGACCCGGCGCTCTCGGTGTTATTGCAAGTTGGATTTTCTAGGAGGTAAATAGTATTACGCTTTGGGCTTATATCAATGGTTTGGACAAGGAAACAAGACGAAAGAGAGGCATACAGACGTACATAGCTCCGTCGGGCCGTTGAAAGGGCATTGGCGGGTGTATGACCCCCCACGCTTTTTGGGGATCGAATAAAGAAGAATTCAGCCATGTCTGCGTGCCTCTTGGTGAATCTGCATGTGCGTGCCTGCGCATGTGAAACCTTTTTTCTTTTTTTCTTTTGGGAGCGGGTGGGGGTTGAGTGCCAATGATGGTGTTTGTGTGTCCCTCAACATTGTCTGTGTGAGCCAGCTGCATGCCTTTGGTGAGATTTTGGTCTGAGCGGATGCTTACCTTAGTCGAGGCAGCTGTTTACCTGCGCTAGACCAAGTACCTGTATCTGTCGAGTGAGTTCCAGTAGAGGCTGAGGTGTGCAGAGTCTCTCCTTAGTCCATTGGGTTTCACTGAGCTCACCAGCTGAGATGTGTACCTTTATGTTCATCTTTTTATCATATTTTTTTTTGGCTTTATCCAAACTCAACGCTCATGTCTGACAGCCAGCCATAGATGTATAGCCGTTAAAGGATGCATGTAAATCATATCTCAGAAGAGTTCGATGTGAAACCTGAACGACATCTACGGGTGAACGCATTTGATTATCTCTGGAAAACCAAAGCGTGATGAAATTATTAAGGTCTTTATGTATACCGCCATTTCCCATTTCGCCTGCCCTTGTTTTTCTTGCAAAGAAGAGCCAACCAAACTCTAGATATCAGAGACTGAATTGGCAGCCAGCCACCTGATGCTTTTTTCAAAAGAATCACCCAACCCGGGCGGGCCATCCCATCACTATATCCTCCCGTCCATGTCCATCCAGGCCCCGTTGAAGACCTATTTGTAGTACGCCTTATCCGTTGTTAAAATACGCATCCTCCCTCCCTTCGCTCCCAGTCGTTACCCGGCTTGCTTATCAAACGTTGGAGGGTATGGATGGTCTCTCCGCCTCCTCATCAGAGTTCACGAGTCAAATGGGATGAGATCCAGATCCACGTAGCCAGCCTGGTCAACCTACTCCTGGCTGGCACTGAGGTCCGGATTCTTCTCCCACAGGTTGCGGAGGATGGCCGTGATACCCTCGTCTTCCTCTCCACCCACCAGACTCGACCCGCTGAGCCCCTGGACGCCCGTTCCCTCGTGAAGGGCCCGGCTGCTCTGATGGTCGTCGCCGTCGGCCTCGTAGCTCGATCCGGCCCCGTTGGTCCGGATGGAATATGCACGCGGGGTGACGGGTCTCCGGGTGGAGCCGGTACCGGTGCCGGTGCCGCCCGATGCCGCAGCCAGAGCCGCCTCATTCAGGCTCGAGTTACGCATATGTTGCCCTCCCGGCGTAACGCCTCCCCGTACCGACGCGGCCTTGCCGTTGCCATTGGCGTTCCCGTTGCGTGGTATCCGCTGCGTCTTGTTCGCGCGGTTCACCTGCGCGAGGCGATCCAGCGAGCGCACCACGGGATTCTGGAAGCGGCGGACGCTGAGGTACTCCATCCCTGTCCGTTCCAGCTGCTTTGCGACGCGTGGGTCGCGGCTCGCGCCGCCGTCGTAGCCCGGCCCGCCAATGCCGACCAGGGGACTTGCGCCCACTGCGCCCACGCCTCCTCCCACCGTCTGGCCTGGCTCAATGACGGAGCTGGCGCGCTGCAGATTGAGCTTCTGCTGCGTTCGCGACTTCTCGGCCGGCGGGGCGAAGCGCCTGCCTGACCGCGGCGCGAGCGCTCCACCGTCGGTATCGCGGTTTTTGCGAGCCTCGAGAGCGCTGTCGCCGTCTTCGTTGTCAGATAATGGCAGATCGCGGTGTCTCCCTTGGCGCCCGGATCCCGAGGACTGCGGTCGCCCTCGAGGAGGATTTTCCTCTGACCGCAAGCTCGCTGGCCCGGGTGTTGGGAGTTGGTAGAAGGATCCTTCGCGCGCCGCGCCGGAGCTTCCTGCGTTAACGAACCTCGAAATAAGCTCGTCGCCGGCGCTACCCGGTAAGGTGCTGACGTTGTGCGAGTCGCCTAAGGTCGAGCCGCGGCCGATGGAGTCGGGGGATGAGGAGTGGCCCCGCCGTGAGACGGATACTGTGTCTGCCGTCATCTTGGGAGGTGCGCCGTGGGAAGGGGTGCGTTGAAGTAATCTCGACGTCAGATAGGCCTTGTGCTGTACGGTCTCGCGGTCGGGCGTTGCTGGGACTAGGGGTGAAGATTGCGCCGCGGGAGTTTCTGCTCTGGAGTTATTCGCAGAGTTGCTGGCAGAGTTGTTGGCAGAGTTGTTCGCGCTGCTGCTACCGTCGTCAGGCTTCGCAGAGGCTTGTGTGCTGGCGAGCGATCCTCGTCTTGACAGGTATGGTGAAGCGGATGTGCTGGCGTCAACCCATTCGTCGTCTTGGCCGTCGTTCCCCAAGTCGAAATGGACCTGTGACTTTTGCGACTTGACCTTATTCACGGCCGGATTCGAGCTGGTTCTCTTGAGTTTCTCCACTGATTTGATCTTTGCGGGCTTGTTGACTTCGCCGTGGGATTTGTTCCTCCGTAAGCTCGTCGCGGAGGCGGTCTTGCTGAGGTTCGCGGAGGAGCTGTCGCGGGAAAGTTTCGCTTCAGATTGAACTCGGCGATGGCCAGCTGCGGAGGCGCGATTTCGATCGGGCGAAGGGGATGCTTGTCGGCGGTGATTGTTCAGTTTTGAGGCTGTCGAGCCATGATGTTTGTGTAGCGCTTTGGAGGAAGGAACGCGTGCATGTAGGCGACCGCCGCCGACAACGTGCTTTTGGGATTTCGAGCGGTGCTGATGATGGTGGTCTCGGTGAGCCTGGTCGCTGTTTGTCGAATCGCTCTCCTGATGATTGAGAGGAGGGCGTCTTGATTGGCTGGGCGCCGAAGATTCATCACCGTCTCTGTCTCTGTCTCGAACCATGGTTGCTTATTTGACCCCCTGGGGATACCGGTACTTGACGAATAGGTACTATGATGTGCCGTTGCAGCCAAGGTACAATGTCATGGGTGTCGACAGGTTTTTGGGGGTGGTAGCAAGGCTTGTTCTCTGATGCGCGGGTGCGTTGCGGTGCGGTGCGGTACGTTGCGTGGGCGTGGGCGTTCGGAGGGCCGATGAATTGCGGTGGTGGCTGCACTCGTTGCTGTTTCAATGAGGTAATGCGTCGAATACTACAGGGAGGGAGAGCACTGGAACTCCGGCAGAGCGCGCGGGATGGAAAAGGTGCGCCCAATTGGGGGCCGATTGCGGCGAGGAGTTGCGCAGCAAAAGGAATGACAACTGGAGGGGAGTTGTCTCGTAGGCGAGGTACAGTGGGCGTTCGGGTATCTGCGTTCTGGATAGGTAAGATAGGAAAGATTGCAAGATGCTGCGCTGTTTTCCTCCAGTCTGCGAGGAGAAATAAGTAGTGTAAAATGGGAAAGAGAGTGACGAAGAGAAAAAGGGCCAGGTCGAAGTTCCTGTCCATTTGTCTAAGGTACCCTTTGGCTAAATTACCTTAGACAAGGTACCCGAGACTATGGGAGGCACCCACGATTCCCTCTCCGCCGCTGGCTCCGGCGCCATTCAGGTCCATTCTCGGCATGCCACGCCCGCTAACGTCCATCGTCAGCACCTGTGGGTGCTGCTTTTAGGTGCGCCTGGACCCGACTTCAACCGCTTCCCACCCCTGCATTCCACGATTCCTAAAAAATCCCACATTTGAGTCTGGGGCGGCTGCACAAACCAGACGCTCTGTGATTGGCCAATAGCTGGAATGACGATGCAGTTGGTTTCCATTAGGTAGGTTGTCCAGGATTCCCTCATTATCACCACGTGACTCTGTCGGATAAGCTTCTTTCCGCAAATGGACGCCATCCCCAGTTTCCATGTCACAGATCAACCAGACGTATGCTTCACCATTCGACCTACATCCGCATCGTCACAGCAATTCAACGCTGAAACACCTTCAGTCACGATCGACCGCACTTTGAATATCCCAAAAACTCGATACGTATTCAAAAGTCTCAACCCGCGATAGAACGCTTCTGCAGCCGCCATCATGTCGGGCCAAATTGCAGCTTTGGAGGAGGATCGCAAACAGTATCAAGAGCAGGTGCGCAACATCCCGACCTTTAGACCTAATATCTGTTCTTCGCTAACTTGGCCATCACAGCTCGATGTTGTTCTCGCCGGCCTCAAAGATGATCCCGAAAATGCCGAACTCAAGAATCTTCAGGCGGAGTTGAATGACATGATTTCCCTCCTAAACGAGTCTCTTGCTGAGCTGCAGCCGAAGCAGGCGCCCAAGCCCGTACCCCAGAAAGCCCCCAGCCCGCCGGAGCCCGAGAAGTGGTCCAAGGAGAACCACCCAGCTTTCAAGAAGGCGGCCCCCGCCTCCGAAGAGAAGGAGGAACCGCCCGTTACGTACTCGGTGAACGACACTGTCATGGCGAAATGGGCTTCGGGCGACAGAGGCTTCTATCCAGCCCGGATCACATCCATCACCGGCTCTTCAACAGACCCCGTCTACATTGTCAAATTCAAAAGCTATGACAACACGGAAACGCTGCGGGCCAAGGACATCCGCCCCATGTCCAACAAACGCAAGGCTGACGGAGCACCAGCTCCCGCATCTAGCACCGCACAACAAACCGCTCGTCCGCCGGCCCCTTCGAACGGTGTCGTTACATCCGCAGCAGCTAGCTTGTACCCGGAGCAGCAAGCCAAGATTGAAGCAGAGAAGATTGCTGCCGATAGCGCCGCAAAGCCCCCCAAAGCCAAGAAGATTAAAGCCACGAAAGAATTGGAAAAGGGCAAATCCAAGTGGCAAGAGTTCAACTCAAAGTCCAAGTTCGGAAAGCAGAAGAAGGATAGCATGTTCCGCACACCCGATGGCGTTGGCGGCCGAGGTACGTTGCTCTCGTGAGACCAAAACTGAGGATGATGCTAACAAAATCGCAGTCGGTTTCACAGGCTCTGGCCAAGCTATGCGAAAAGACACTGCTCGCAGTCGACACGTTTATCAACAAAACGATGAACTCGACTAACTGGTGCCATAGCGTAGGAATGCGGGAGGATCATAAAGAAAGGAGGTTCAAGGCTTTGGCGTTCACGGGTGATTTGGCACTCTCGTTCTCTTCATGGTAAAGTGTCTTGTTTCCGCGTTACATAGGCTAACGGTTTGTACACATGTGTTTTACTCCCTCCAGACGACCATGGGATTATAATCTCATCTGGACTCTGCGCATCAAGCGCGGAGGGGTCCTTGTTACAAATACATGAGATGCCCAACTTCCCCAGCTTCTTGGCCACCTTGACTAAACATCTGGCTATACAGGATATCGTACACTTTTATTCCGGCCTCAGAACACGTCGCTTGCTGGCCGTCACATATCATTGGCGAGTTACGGTGAGCGGAGGTCAATCTTTGGGACAATATCCTTCGCAATCTTGAGGAAGATTTCCGCCCTGGCACTCGACGGCTCCGATACGACGGTGGGCTTGCCCAGATCCGCATCATCGCCGATGGATGGGTGCAGGGGGATGTCGCCTAGGAAGTTGATCTTGTGCTCTCTGCACATGCGCTCGACTCTTTCGTTGGACCCAAAAACGTGTGTGTCGCCGTGGCAGTGTGGACAGTTGAAGAGTGACATGTTTTGCACCAAGCCCAAAATATTGACATTGACCTTGTTGAACATGTTGACACCCTTGACCGCGTCCTTGACCGCGAGTGTATGGGGTGTGGTGACAATGATGGATCCTGGCTACTGTGAGCGGTGGCCAACGACAATTATGTGCCTAGTGCTGCGACGTTGAAACGTGACTTACCATCGAGTATGATCTGCTGTGTAATGGTGAGCTGCGTGTCGCCCGTGCCTGGAGGCAGGTCAAGCACGAGAACATCCAGTCCACCCCAGTCGACTTCGTGAAGTAGCTGCTGAATGGCCTTCATCACCATGGGGCCTCGCCATACCACGGCGTCATCCTCTGGCACGAGGTAGCCCATGGACATGGTCTTGACGCCGTAATTTGTCATTGGGATTAATTGGTTGTCTGACCGTAGTGTCAGTTGGCGAGCTGAAATGGTCAATGTGGTCTAGAGTCCCTACTTTCTGAAAGCCTAGGCTCCCCGGAGAGGTTGAAGAGTGTCGGAATAGAAGGGCCAAAGATATCGGTATCTAGGATTCCCGCCCTGTAGCCTAGCCGTGCAAAAGCCAACGATAAGTTTGCTATAAATACTGATTACTACTTTCTCTCTTTGCATAGACGTTTGATTTCGAGCTGCGTGACCTACCTGCGACTGTGCTCTTACCAACGCCACCCTTAGCAGAAGAAACCGCAATGATTTTCTGGACGCCGGTTATCTTCCTTTTTACGGGCTTTCTGGGCCAGTTAGGTGGTGTGCCGGATTTCGGCAAGCCCTGTAGGTTATGTTAGTAAGTCTGAGCATGGAAAGGACGCATGAGAGTGAGAGTGAGCAAGAGTAAGAGTAATAGAAAGAAGCGTGAGTTGTACCAAGGGGTTTTCATGGCCCAGGACTCGAAGAGTCGACTGAAACGGACGGAATAGTGTTGGCCTCATTGTGCGGTCTTTGACAAGCGATCACAATCGCCTTGAACGTCAAAGAGAGATGCAATACACAATGCAATGGAAGAGACCCTGAAGACAGACTGACAATGCCTCGGGGGTGGTGATGAGAGGATGTAATTGATTGGCTCTACGTAGACTGGATCTGTTTGCGGAGTATCTTCGGCTGAGCGGTGGCTCAGCTTCATTTGCTTGCAATGGCACTACCTGAGACAGAAGCACATAGAACAATACAATTCATTGAGACTCGAATAATTTGAGCACACAATGCATCTTCACCCGATCGGGAAATACCAAGCAGCATTGTATGGCACCTCAGTTGGACCTCTCGGTGGTAGAGAGTCAATCAAGAGACTCACGTGATCTGGTGTAGACGACCCCACCGAACCTTCTCCATGGCTCGTGTACGTACCTTTTTCCATCGCGGTTGTATTCGCGATGAGAGGAACCTGAGCCGTGGACGCGCTTGAACCACTATCTCACTCATTGAAAGCTCTCATTCAAAAGTCAAACCCCACCACCCGCTAAGCGTGAGATCTCACATATGAAGAACTCATAGTTGTATTCTCCTCCAGTTCTCGCCTTCAATTTTCATATTACTGATACCCCTTTGTCATTCCCACGCTTTTTGTTTTCATCGATCCTGCCGGCTGGCACTCACTCTCGTTTTCTTTACGCCTGCCTTACCTCGAGAAGCTAGCAGCCGTTGCAGGGAAGTGTCGAGACTCATCTCCATCTAATATATCCGAAGCACCAAGACCGGTTCTCAAGGAGAGGGAGAGAGAGAGAGAGAAACATATATCACACACACAAACGACGCGATGTCTACCCCATCGGCAATGTTCGACATGACGCAAGGTCGTCGCGACCTGGCCGCCCTGCCCTCCGACTGGCAACAAAACATCAGAGAAGCTGTAAGTCCTTGCATTATCTAGCACCACTTCTTTATACTCTCGTACATAATCCGAGAGTTGGCCTCGTCATCTACCCGTCTTTCCTTCCCTTCTCATCCCTAGAGCAAACATCACTGACACACACCCCTCACCCAGTGGGAAGTCGTCGACCAACAAGGCCTCGGCTCCCTCAACGCGCGCGAGTGGCCCTTTGCCCTCCGCGCCATCGGCTTCGACCTGGCCCGCACAGAGACCTACGCCCTCCTCCTCGCCCACGGCGTCCCGCCGCACGATCACGACCCGTCGAGGGGCCCCTGCAGCCCGTCCCGCCTGCGCATGCCGCAGGAGCACTTCTCCGCCATCGCGGCGTGGCTGCTGATGCGCCGCGACCCGCAGGAGGAGGCCGAGGACGCGTGGAAGATGTTTGATCCTCGCGGCACGGGGCGGGTCACGCTCGAGAGTTTGAGAGCGGTGTGCGGCGAGGTGAATTCTACGCTGAGCGAGGCGGATATGAGGAGGATGATTGACATGGCGGATATCTCGGGTAAAGGATGGGTTAGTAAGGAGGAGTTTATTGAGGTTGCCAAGGGCGGGTTTGGACGTGGTTGAGTTTGGTCTCGTCCCTCGATGAGAGAGAGAAGAAGGGAGGTTTGTGATGGGACGGATGTGTTTAAAGGCCTCGACGAGAGTGACGGCGAGCCGACCATGCCAAACTTATCCAGGCACTGGGTTTACATAGGTTCTTTCAACATTGGAGCAAAAATGCTATTATAAATTCATTTTGTAACAGCGGCCACGCCCGCACTTGTGATAGTGGCTCCCTGAGCCGGGACTGAGTAATGCCTACGAGGAATTGGATTTTTGCTTTCCGCCAGCTTAGCCAGTCAGGACGTTGAAAAGAGGTCTGTTGCCCCCGCATCCCCCCCCCCCTCCCCCTTTCCCGAGTTTCCTAGATCGTAACACCAGTCGACTTCCTAAGCGGCAACCCGGCCTTCTCATACGCCATGTCAATCATCCTCATCTGGCTAATACTATCCTCCCCATCGACCCAAACGCTCGTCTCCCTACCCCTGACGCGGTTGACAAACTGCTCCAGCTGATGCCGGTACGTGAACCAATACTCCTCGCCCTTGCCCGCCAACCCGGCCTCGTCAAAGGTATACGCCTTCTTGGACGTCTTCTCCGTCCACCTCTTGACCACCTCGCCCGAGCCCGTCCGCTTCACGACGAACTCGTCCACGACGTCGATGCGGTGCCAGATTCCGCCCAGCATGAAATTCGCAAACTCAATCGTGCGCTTCCGCGTCTTCTCCTGGCCCGCGGGCAACTTGTCGTCGTCGGCGACTCGAGCCTCCTTGTGAACGACGGTCAGCCGCGGCAGGCCCATCCCCAACGTCCCCGTCCGGAACGCCCCCTCGGCGTGCGCCGTCCCGCCGTTGGCCATCCGCCACGTAATGTCCCACGCGTAATCCGCCCTCTCCTCAGGCGGCGGCATCGTCTTGAATTTCGCCGTCAGACACTCCTCGGGCTCGACGCCAAACGTCTGCCGGATGCTCGAGACGGTATACGTGCCCAAATCCATCAGCCCGCCGCCAGCAAGACCGTACTGGAACCGGATATCGTCGTCTCCGAGCGCGAACCAGGGGATAAACGCGCGCGCATGCACGTGCGCGACGTTCTCCTTGTCAACAAGCCCCAGGAAATATTGCCAACTCGGCTGGAACCGGTAATGGAACGCCTCCAGCAGCACGGGTGCTGCGTTCTCCTTGAGCAGCGGCAGCCGGAACAGGGCCTCGGCCTCCTCGGCGTTGGAGACGGAGGGCTTCTCCAGCAAGACGTGCTTGCCCGCCTGCAGCGCCTTGAGAGCCCACTCGTAGTGCAGGCCGTTGGGCAGCGGGACGTAGATTGCGTCGATGTCGGGGTCGTCAATGACGGCCTGGTACGAGTCCTTCACGTCCGGGATGCCGTGCTTCGCGGCAAAGGCCTCGGCTTTTTTACGGTCGCGGGCGGCAATGGATTGGACTTTGACGTCTGGGTGAGTTTTGGCCGGGATGATGAGGGCCATCGGACTACATCTCGAATGAGCTTCCGATTGTTGATGATGAGGTTATTCGCAATATTTCTTTTTCAACGAAATGGTAAAGCCCGAGATGACACTTACGCAATGTTGGCTGCGCCGAGGACACCGAAGCGAATGGCGCCATCTTGCTTTGGTGCGACGGGCGGGTTGAAGATGAGATAGTTGCGGCGTAGGAAGCCGAATACGGAGGCCATGGTGATGAAGGTGAGATGCAGAACGGGGGTTATGTGTGATTACAGATTACAGCTCAGTCAATTGAAGTCAGTTTACAACTCCAGTTACTCGCGAGTATTTATGAGAATTAGAATGAGACTCATTGAGTGATCAGTGAACCAACAGACAAAAGCAGGGGAAAGTTGATTAGCAATCTGGGGGCTAGTGTTGCAAGGCATGGGATGTTTCTCCTCACCGGCTTTGATCCGCTGACGGACATGAGACGGTGCAGCAGCACAAGGGAACGGAAGTGTTGGCTCAATCCCGGCGGGGTTCAATGGGCAACTTGGCCGATAACATCAAAGCTTAGTGCGGGCAGCTTATATTCGATTGCAAACTCTGGTCACATTATTATGAGGTGTCGCCGAGCTGGAAGTTGTTGGTTCAATTTGTCAAATATGGGCCTTGCATCCGTCGTACCGCTTCTGGCAGGTGTTTTCCGTGTGCACCGTTGACCGACCGTTGAAACCCCTGCAGATATCCTCAGACAAAACCCCGCCATCACTGCTGGGCATGTTGCGATGTGGGAACGATACATGTTGTCACAGTCACTGTATGCATAGGCCGGTTGGTTATCTCTTTTACTTCATTTTGAGAACTACGTAGGTGGGCTTTTTGCCATCATCATCCTACGGAACAGAGTAGACCCCATCCCATTTTTGGTCTCATCTCTGTGGAGGTATCACCCATTAACTCTTCCTTTACAAAACATCGTTGGCGTTGAAGTCGAACAGAGCCTGCTTGACGCGCTCCTTCATGGTCTTCTCGCCCTCACGTACCCAGACTCTAGGGTCGTACTTCTTCTTGTTGGGCTTGTCGTCACCCTCGGGGTTGCCAACCTGGGTCTTCAGGTAGTCGATGTTCTTGGTGACGTAGTCGCGGATACCGGTGAGGTAGGCCCACTGCAGGTCAGTGTCGACGTTGACCTTGACGACACCGAAGGAGATGGCCTTCTGGAACTCCTCGACGGCGGAGCCGGAGCCACCGTGGAAAACGAAGAAGACGGGCTTCTTGTCGTCGGTGCCCAGCTTCTGCTGGACAAACTCCTGGTGCTTGCCGAGGAGCTCGGGGTGAAGCTTGACGTTGCTGCAATGGGTTAGAGTTGTGTTTTGGAGGTTTTGGGGGCACACGCAACTTACCCGGGCTTGTAGACACCGTGGACGTTACCGAAACCGGCAGCGATGGAGAAGAAGGGGCTGATGGGGCTCAGGGCCTGGTAGATGGCGTAGATGTCCTCGGGCTGGGTGTAGAGGGAGTTGTTGTCGACATCCTCGTTGTTGACACCGTCCTCCTCACCACCGGTGATACCAATCTCCATCTCGAGCCACAGCTTCATCTGTGCGCAATGTGTCAGTGGCAGGCGCAAGAAAAAGGGCTTGACTATAGCTTACGGGAGCAGAGCGCTTGAGGTACTTGGCGGTGGTCTCGATGTTGTAGGCGACATCCTCTATGTGTTTGTTAGTTATGGTCTTGGGAAGGGGGTGATTGGAACTCGATTACATACCCTCGGAGAGGTCGATCATGTGGGAGGAGAAGAGGGGGTGGCCGGAGCGCTTGAACTCCTCCTCATCGGCGGAGATCATGCCATCGAGCCACGGCAGAAGCTTCTTGCTGTGGTCGAGGTCAGTTTGCTGGATCTTGGGATCGGGTGGTTGTGTAGTGCAAACTTACGCGCAGTGGTCAGAGTGAAGGACGACGGGAACGCCGTAGATGGGGGCGATAGAGGTGATGTAGTGAGCGGCAGCAATGGCACCGGCGACGGAAGCCTCCTGCTTGTCGGCGCTGTTGGGAATGCCCTTGCCGGCGAAGTAGGCGGCACCACCCTGGGAACTGCAAAGCTATCAGATATCTTGCTGTGGGGCGTGGCTGGTCTTGGATCCACGGGACTGGTATAGGATTTCTACGCACGTCTGGAGGATGATGGGAGACTTGGCTTCGCGGGCGGCCTCGAGAGCGGCAACAGCGGTGGAAGAGGAGGTCTGGGAGGCGGGGTCGTTGTTAGCCGATTGTCACCAAATATTATTTCCCCTCCATTCTTGGACCGTACGGCGCCAACTCGGCGCGCGTCACAGAATCGACAGGATTGGTCCTGATAGGGTCGGAGGAACCGGAGAGAAGCTACTTACGACGTTGGCAGCAGGAATGGCAAACTGCTTGGCCTTGGCGTAGTTGAAGAGCTTCAGGAGGTCATCGCCGTAGACGACACCAGGCTTGATGTTGAGCTCTGACAGGAGACCCATTGTGAATGGCGGGGTATTCGACGTGGGGTAGAAAAGATGTTCAGGTTGATTGCGTCTAGTAACTTGTCCAGAGTAGAGTCGGACTGTTCTAGATTGATGCTCAGAGGCAGAAGGGTAAAATAAAAGGTAAGAGAATATGCAGGGACAGGTATTGGAGAAGAGGAAGAGGAATTAACAGGAAAGTTTGGATCGGGGTCGAGGTGGACGTGGGCGAGTTATGTTTGATTCCCACGAGCGGGATTTTACTCGGGCTGAGCAGGACTGGTCCAGTATCCGTACTGCAGCTACCATGGAAGCCAGCCAGACCCGGTCCACCCTGACCGTCCGTCGATGGGCCACGCCTACGGCCAAGCATCGGTCCAGTTACCGGCGGGTGCTCTCCCACCTTGACCAAGCGTTGGCTGGTTGGCTGGGCGTGTTGCGTGAGGTGCGAGGTAAGGTACATGGATGAGACCGATTTGGCCGTGGTTTCCCCTTCAACTGCTCCGAGCTGGAGTACCTGACCTCACCTGCTGGTTCTGAGGTAAGGTACTCCGTCCATGAGGAGCTCCGCTCTAGGTACCAGCTTCACAATGGAGTTCTTTCCAGGTTGGGGGAGGTACCACCACCGTCCACCAAGCATCCCATGCTCCCTCGTTCTTTCCTGCCTTTGGTCACTCCGGTAATGGGAGGAAGTGGATGGATCTGCCCTGACATCCATCTTCCATCTGGAATTGTACCTTCCCCAAGCATCGGTTATGAACATAGACCTGTTACATAGGTAATAAAGCATTGTAAGCCCTGTAAGGTACCTGGGTAAAAGATCTTAGGCAATGCATCATACCTACTTTTTACACACTTTTTACACCTTAATTACTTTACACCATGGTACCAAGCAACAAGTTGACCTGTGGCTGAACCCAAGCAATGCTTCCATTGAGAGAAACAAGTCATCAACAACACTGCGCCTGTCTCAACCTAACCCAATGGAACACCATGAGTTGTTGAGGGGCACAAGACACAAGTACCTCGACCGGGCGGACAGCAAGAGGGGGTACTTTGCACCAGCTACGAACAGCCCCTCTATTTCCTCTTACCACCACGTCAAACGCGACTAACCCCTCCCCCCACCCGGCCATCAAATTGACGTCAAAAAATTGATACTGCACCACTTTCTGCAGGGATCCAATCGTCGCCTCTGCTTTTTTTGGTCTGCTTTGGTCGAGGAGCCATCAATAATGGCGGGGGCCTAGACCTGACACCACCGAGACCGCCTGCAACAGACCACCTGAACCTGGACAAACGGTACGGATACACCTGCGACCTTGGTGCCATGGCGCGCCGACACCGCCATTGGCCAGGGCGCAGACTGCTGACAATCATGGCATTTGACTTTTCCACCTCCAGATCTCTCGGCCTTATTATTTTGTGTCCACTGCTGCGATATTTAATGTACAGTAGTAGCCCCGTCGCCCATCGAATGACTCAATTCTCTGACCTCTAGGGTTGCGACTATTATCATCACGCAGGGTGACGTCTCACCGAGACCCTATTCTCGGTGTAATTTTCCCATCTACACCTCAGATACTTGGTAGGTGGGAAACCAAGATGATACTCGGAACTGATGCTAAGATATTCTAGGGTCACTCGCAACAACGAATCTCCGCCTTACAACCCCTCCATCCCACCCACATCCATCCATGCCATCCCGACCAACCATTTCCTTACCTCATGCGCGCCGGGCCCCGGAAAAGCCAGACCAATCGCACTGACCCATGACGATAACCTCCTCCCGGGGACCATGAACTCATCCCGTCCGCTTCCCGTCCGCGCCTTTGCGTTTCCACCCCCATCCTTAGCTCATTGCCGAAGGCCCGGAAAGATGCGGGATCGTGCCTAGATTCCATCCTTTGTCCGCCGAAAACCGACTCTGCACGCCTTCAAAACGCCCCTCGACGCCATTCTTTCCTCGGCACAATCGCCCTCCAAGCCGCGATACCTTCTTTCATTGCCGGAAGAATTATCCACGGTTCGGCTCATCTCGTGTCTCTGATATCGTGCCTCTCCACTTCCAAGAACTCGACTGTCCACCTTCCGGCGCAAACACGAACTCGGAATCTCGAATCTCGGGTCCAAACCACGAGCTTGCATATTGCCATGTCATGGCCTCGCATTCTTTCAATAACCGTCAACCAATGAATGATGTCGAGTCTGGGAATCTCTTCGAGCTCGTCTATTCAGTTCTACCGCCGTCTTGATCAAAATCTAGCACTCGTCATCTTCGCCAGTGTTCCATCCCGGGAAACGCTGACCACCTCGGCCATCTCTCCGGCCTTGCCATGTCTTCATTAGCGCCGTCAAGTCATGGGTATGTATCCGTACGTCCTGCTCTTTCTCGCCTCGCTATATACGACCTCCCACTCCAGACCAGAGCACCCTTTCCGAACCCAGCCTCTCAACTGCCCCTTAGTCGAGATCCAGATCCTCCATTGCCTCCGCAACAAAAGTCTGGTCCGCTTGACGCCCCGAAGATGTCCGCTCCTCCGGCCGCACTCCGCCATCATCCCCAGCTTCGCTAGTGCTGCCCTCGCTCTCCGTCTCCGGTGGCGTCTGCAGCCCCGTGGCGTCTCGCGCCCGCATGTTCCGCTTCAGCATGCACATCTCCACCGAGATTCCCGGCCCGAACGCACACCCCACCACGTAGTCCCGGGCTCGGCCCTCCGGTGCTACAGCATCCATGTCTTTGGATCGCAGCCTGTCCATGACGCTGAAGATCGTTGCCGAGCTCGAGTTTCCGTGATTGATATATGTGTCGTAGCTCGCCCGCATGTGGTACGACGTGATGCCCATCGTCGCCTCTGCCCCTGATAAGATCGTCGCGCCTCCGGGGTGCATCGCCCAGTCGAAGTCTTCGGGTTTCTGGTAATTCGGTGGTAGCGACGGTACGTCGGAGAGCATCTCTGCAAACGTCGACGGGATTGCCGCCGATGCGAGCTTCGGTACTCGTGGGGTAAGAATCACTTTCCAACCTGAATTGCTTTAGATACGATGCTTTGGCTGCTTCACCATGGGGTTCTTGAACTCACCAACAGGATCGACATCGAAGCCGAGGTCCTGGTCTGTGTCGGGAATGATCTTGTGCTCCCACCCCAACAAGTCGTAGACGGGTTCCGTTGGCTCGCCGACGCCATTGCTAAGCACCACGGCGCTCGCGCAGTCAGAGAAGAGGGCGACGCCGATCCGGGTCTCTTGCAACTCGTCGATGCTGTTGAGTTCGCTGCGCACCATAGTGGTGCTGACCTCGAGCGCGACGCAGAGTATCCTCGCAGGTTTCCCGCGCGCCTTGTGTCCCAGCGCCAGGTTCGCTGCCGTCCGCAGCGTTGCCAGTCCGCCGCTGCAGCCGACGCCGTGCAGCAGGACTTTTTCGACCTGGTGCGTGATGCCGAGGCCATTGACGACGTAGTGGTCGAAGCCCGGGTTGGCGCTGTCGGTGCAGGTTGTCGATACGACGTGGGTAATTTCAGAGAGGTCGATGCGCGCTTCTTCGATGGCTTTGCGGGATGCTTCTACGGCGAGGGGTACGCCATCGCTCATGAAGACCTTGTGGAGTTCTGCGATGGAGGGGGCGTCTTTTTGGTTGACAACTTCGTGTTCGTGGGTGCCGATGGAGGAACGGTAATCGATGCCGGTGAATCTGTTGATGGAGAGAACCTTTTTCATGCTACACGGGAGCTCTGGTCAGAAGCAGTAACAGTATGCCCAATTGCGGTATCCGATGCTTACGAAGGTGATTCAGGGTAGAACTTGTTACTGAGGTAGTCTATTGAGTCTGTCTTGAGCGAGTAGGGCGGATACTGGCTAGCGACGCCAATGATGGAGAGACCAAGCTCCCCAAATGTGTTGGGAGCCGCCATTGTGTAGATTGTGTGAGCGAGAGTTGCGATATGCGGGGGAGGGGTAGCTTAATTAACTGTTCCTCTCAATTGGATGTGGCGTTGTGTGTGTATTATGTGTGTTATATGAAATTTGACCTTCAACCAGAAAAGATCCAAGGTCAATGGCAGGTTGAAGGAGAGAAAGAGAGCTTGTTGAAGCTCTAGAGAAGCTGCGAGAGGCCTTTGGCAAGGGGGTAGAGCTATGTGCGACTCGCAATGGGCGTTGGCGCAAGAGAGACAAGGATGGATGCGTGCTAGTAGTTGAGGTGCGTCTTGGGAGTGATGATATCACTGCGGACGAACGGCAACACAGGATTACCAGAGTAAAACGTAGAACACCAACGATGTAGCGCGGATAGAAATGTTGGTCTGATGTATTGTGCCAACGTGGTGTAATTCGTATGTTGCCAACGGGAGAAACGATGGACAAGGCGAAGGCGGGTACGGGCTTGAGCTCTACCTTAGGCCTCTAGCATGTCGATTTTGGGTGTGCTGTAAAGGTAAAACCAAAAGTCGGTCAGGTTGTGAAATTGGTCAGGCCAGATTTGTGTGTTCAGAGCCAACAAGATAGAGAGCGAGCGGGAGGAGGCGAAGAAAGATAATGGACGAGAGAGACAGGCCCGTCATGCATTAAGGAAACATAATAGTGACGCCGGCATTGAGCATGGGTGGTGGTGGTTGGTGACTTGGATGGTGGTGGTGCCGTGGCCGTGGTGGGTGGGATGAGGCAAAGGCGACTGGGGGTGGAGGGGGGAAGAAAAAGGACAGTATCCGTATGTAAGGAAACACAAGCGCCGGTCGTAGTTGCACTTACGAGCTCAACAAAAGTGGTTGGCCAAGAGGAGCTACCCTTGCCGTACCTTCTCCGTATGCGCGGTGCTCTCTCTACCTGCTGATTACTAGGCTCACGTTAGACCACGATGCTTTCTCTCCAAAGTCCAGACACTATGGGCACATGGACACGGGGAAAATAGAGAGGGAGAGGCGGCAAGACGGGGGCTGGCCAAGAAAGCGCGCCGCGTTTGCTTGTGGCGATAATGACAGTGTGGTGTGGTCAAAAAAACTGGTCACAGTGGGCGAGTCGGG